ACCTGTACCTCCTCCAGTTTCTCCTTTAGGTCCTTGACGATGCCGCCCAGCAGGGCAGTCTTGAGGGCCATGCTGACCGTGCCGGCCGTGAAGAGTTCCTGCCAGTGACTCGCTGCATCTTTCACCCTTTGCAGGCACGAGTGTTCCGAAATATCGATGAAGAGTACGTAGCTGGTGTCTGCGCGGAGAAGGGTGAGGTCGGCTTCGTGCCGTAGGACTGCTCGGGTGACCGTCGTCAGGAAGGCCTGCACCTGTGGGTCCAGGGAGGCACGGTTCTCCTGATTCTTCGAGCTCGGCTCCCACTGTCTCTTCGGGTTGGAGCCGCTCCCCGAGTTCCAAGGGCGCCAAGCTCCCTTGCCCCCGTCTTTCTTGCCCCATTTGGAAGGCCGATCTGAGTCGAGACCGTCCTCCTTCCAGTCCTTGGCTTGTTCCGCCCACGACTGGTCCTGCTCCTTCTCGGGCTTGTTCTTGGGCTGCCCGAAGACCAGGTCGATCTCCGTCTGGGCCAAGGTGGCTCGAGTCTCCTCCGTCATCTCGGTGTCCGTCATCTTCAAAAAAAAATTCCCTCTGAGCCTGGGTTTGCAGGACACAGCCCGCCAATGAGGCTTGAAAAACTGGGACACAACTTTTAATATGCCTGCGAGGGTCTTGGATCGGCTTCTGGCAGTATGCACACGGGCTCCGGAGGTCTAGACCCAGGCTATTGATTCGATCAGCAGCGGCGGTCGCATGCTGCCACTCAGTCTGATGCATGAGCCTGTGATGCTGCTTGCACCCTGGACCAATGAGCGATATCCACTGCCCGCAGAAAACACAAAAGGTACGCAATGACTCAACTGTTTTCTCGTCAGAGAGTGGCCGGCGCCAGCTCTCGGCAAGCATGGAACAGAAAGCTGAGGTTGCAAAAAGCGGCCGACGTTCCTCAAAAGCGACACCTGCTGAGGGCAGGCCCTCATTGCCAGTACCCTCAGCACCCCCAGAAGCTACCTGGACTTCGGGGGCTGGTGTCGACTCTGCCGGATCAGTCTGCAGCGAGTCGGCGCCTACCCGCGCAGGGCATCCACCATTGATATGCTTCTTAAGCCCTTCAACCCGCCTGAAGGATTCGCTGCAAAAACGGCAGGTAGGCATGCCATTCAAGGCGTACTCGTTGTAAACAACGGCACTTAGGACACCGGTGGGTCGTTGCTTGGGTGTTTTGCCAACGGAGGGTTTTGCAGCAGATGGAGCTCGCTGGTGTGTCCTAGCCCGATGCGATCGCATGTGCCTATGGTGTGTGAAGTAGACTCCACAATCTGGGCACGCTACACCCCGAAACAGACCACTGGAGTCCATGGCCAGTAGCTGAGAAGAATCACCCGGCAGTGATGCCAACTCCTTGAGCCCTGCAGTGAACCAACTGACGCTATGACTCTGTCGACTATTCTGACTGCGCCTTTGCAGCATTTGGCTCAGTGCCTCTCGGGGAGAGGCAACTTTCAGCCGGGATCGCAGGCTTGAATTGCTCTCCCTGGTAAGGTGCACCGGTGAGTTGGCGATTGCCCGGAGTGCTCGTGCATCATATGATTCCAGACGACGAAGGACTTCTGCAGTAACGCCGATTGCATGTAGTCCGAACATCAAAGTGCTACGCACGCAAGCCACATACAGACGCACTCGGCACCGGATGGAGAGCCTTTTGGCATGCAGGACACGTAGCAACCGTTGCCGATTGTGGATAGCAGCCTTACGCCGATGCTCATATGTTTGTGTCTCAAACCTCCCATAGGAGACCGCCACACCTAGATAAACCATGTGGGTGACCCGAGGGATAATGAGGGGAGACCCAGGAACCCCTAGATTCAACGCCGGCTGTCCGTCCACAAAACAGGCGTGTCGCTTGATCCAGCGTCGGGCGGCACTCCCACGAAGTCCTAGAACTATGTAGACTCAAAAAGCCGGAAGAGTATCCTAATAGTGCGGAGTGCTATACCTAAATCCTTCAACGATTCTATCTGGAACGAGGCGTGGCTGTCGTCCGCATACAGAGTCATCAGCCTCTCGGCCCAACTGGCAGAAGTTGCCGCCACCAACTGATCATAGATCCAGCAGCTATACAGCGTGAAAAGCAATGGACTAAGGACACAGCCCTGGCGGACGCCTTTCTCTAACGCGAAGGTTTTGCTGTGCTGGCCGTGTCGCACGGTGTATTTGCACTGCTGATGAATCGAAATGATGGCGATTTGCAACTCCTTTGGTATGTTCGCATGTGTCATGGCGGCTTCCAAGGACCAACGGGGAAGTTCATCAAAAGCACGACTCAAATCAACGCTTAACATGAGCCCTCCAAAGCAAGTGCTTTCGCGAGCTCCCTCCCGTCGCGCGTGAACACTCAAGGTGCCATGCTGGATACGACTACGGACGTGCCGACAGTGACTGGCTACCCTACAGACCGCATCATCAAGTGCTTTGTTAGGACAGTAAGCGAACTGCGGGCGTGCACTTATATAATCAATGACGTACGGCATGACGCGGGCTCGAAGCACCAGTGCAAGAACCTTAGCACTGGGATCCTGTAGTCCCAGTGGCCGCAGATCCTGCGGCCTACGACCAACCTTGCCTGGCTTGGGCAACAGTGCCAGTGAGCAGCAAGTGGCTTCATCAGGATATGTTATCCCAGCGTCATGGCTGCGTTGGAAGACCTGAGCACTAAGCTTAGCCACCCCCTCTGGTTGCAGTAGCCAAATGTCCGCCGGCAAGCTAGCTTCCGGCACTGCCTTGCCCGGCTTGAGCTGACGCACAGCTTCACAGATTTCGGTAAACGAAAGCAGCACGTCAGTCTCCGGAATGCGGTATTCGTGGGGAGAGCTGAAGGCCTGTTGAAAATAGTGGTGAATCTCATGAAACTCCTGTTCAACTGAGAGGAGATGGCCTTGTTTGGAACGAATGCGCACCTTCTCCCGTTTACGCTTAGGAGCAATGAGATTGATAACCCTGTAAACCGAGCCTAGGTCATTCCTGGAGGCTGCCTTCTCTGCCGCACTGATTTGCTCCTCGAGCCACTGGCGCCGCCTGTGTTGGCCAGCAGCCCGGAGAGCACGGCCGGCTTGGCGCAGATCTGCCTGTCTCTGCGCCAAAGCCGCCGCCCGCTGAAAAGCTGCCAGCTGCGTGTGTGGAGTGTGCGACCTATACACACTCCACACATGCTCAATCGCCTGCTTCACGGCTGTGGACTGGGTATTACTGGGGGGACTCTTACGATTACAGGGAAAGAGGCGTTGGCAGTGTGGGAGCATGCGGCGATTGAGCGCCTGAAAACTGCACTGGTCCGAGGCTATCAACCCCTCAATCTCTGTGACCAGGAGCTGCTGAAGCTCTTGTGCCTCTGCATTATGCTGCTGCACACTATTCCTTAAGGCTTGAAGGGAGAAACGAAGGGGCTTATCAACCTTAGCAGTGAGTTTCCACCCGGGGACCCAGGGTAAGGTAGCAGCTACCGCATGGTGTTTAGGGCCAAGGCGCCATGGCGCCAAGTCCAGTGCCATCGGTTGTGCAGTACGGGCCAGAGCAT